AGCTGCCTGTGGCAAGATGGCCGCCAGGTGCGGACGTCGATCTCCATTGGCCAGCAGCGCAGACAGGACATCTAGCCTTTATTATGGATTTCTATGGTTACAATTGTTAGTTAACACATGGTTGTTAGTTAGCACCTGCCCCTCATTATAGCCTCTTACCCAGTGTATTTATACCCTTGTGTTTCAGTCAGTGTTTGTCGGTTGTTGTCTTTACAACTGTTCCCCAGTTGGATTATTATCTCGTCTTCAGGTTTGGATTATCTTTTGTACTGTGTGACTATTAAATAAAAACTGCTTGCATAAGATTCTCACCTCTCTTCGTCCCTGCTACACACGTGACACAAACCTCTTGGTTACAGACATTCTGCAGTCTAACACAAACCACCAGCTTCATGGAGAGAAATTACCCTACTCCATAACGTACAAATTATGAACAATATAAAAAAATATTCCATTAAAAATTGTATCTTAAATTGTAAATCAACAACTACTGTACACCCCTGGCTAATAATTTAGCTCAAGGTGGTCTATAATATCTAACAAGAAATTGATGTAGGCTTTGATAGTTTAAAACAGCATTATACCAGAACACAGATTTACTACTGTCGTAAAACACATTGACCAACAGCACCCAAAGCCTTCTGTCAGCGACTGTTTTCTCTCTACACACTGACACTAAACAGCTGCTAATGTGGTCAATCTGATGAATAGCACTTGCTAATATCCCAAATGATCTTCAATGCTTTCCCAGAAAAAATGCCCTGACATCAGGATGAATCTGTGTTTAGTATTTAACAGACCACAAAACCTCACAGTTGTCCACTTAATGTACTGGAGTGGCATTTAAAAGTTAATATCTCTGAGGAAGTAAGGTGGGAAAAATCAATTAAGGATGAAGAGGAGGGGCCCTGTCATAAAAAAAACCCATCTCTCTTACAATTTTGATGAAACCATCTTTTTTTTCCATCTTACCAAACATGGGTAGTTACCTTCTGTTAAAAGTTCTGTACAACTGGTTTGTTCATTCAAAAAGGAAAATATTTTAAAGAATGTTTCTGCAGCTTTTGTCCATACAATAGGGTTTGAAACAATATTAAAACCCACTGAATAAAAAACAAACATTTTCAGAATTTTTATAATGTTTTTTCCACAGAAGAAAGAAATATGATGACAATTTTTGGTGAACTATGCTGGAATAAATGGTTTATCCCACTTGTGGTCTCTAGCCTTGGATCCATTATAGTAAATGTATTATTAGTCAATGTATTCTAGGCCAAAATATTAGTCTGATCACTTAGGCCACATTTACATTGCATGGTCCAAGGGACTTAATGTCCTTTCATTTTTTTCCTCCCATGTGGCACAGATCAGATATGATCCACGAACGTTTAAGCCGAAAAGAGCACACGAATATTCACTGATCTCGGATCAGGACACAATATTCTCAGACGTCAACTCAAGTGGACACCAACCGCGATCACATGACACTTGTCAATGGCGCAATGGAGGATGAAGGCTCAACCCAATGACTTGCTGACCTTTAAAGATGGTGCGGAAAGCAAAAGCTTGTATTATCATTTCATCCACGTTCATTGCAACTCTTGCTGTTTTTACTTCCTTTTTGGCATTCGTTTTTCCTAGACAGTACGTCTACCTTGGGTTGTTTCGGAAGTGCATAGTGGAAATGCAGATATCCGATATGGGTCACTTTTAAAAGAAGATGTAAGCTGGTCATCAATAAACAAAACAATATGAATATAGTCGACGACTTCAGTCATCAAGTCATCTGAGTCATCTGACTCAAGTACGCGTGACGTTCATGGTGTTTTCAGCGTCTCAAACAATTTGAGGACATGAATACATGAACATTTCCAGAGCTGCTCTGAGAGAACGCCTAATGAGCATTTTCATCATTTTATTTGAGAAAAACCATTGTCAAATCCACTTTGAAACAGGTCTACACTACAACCCGTCAAAATAAAAGTTCGGTTTAACTAGGAGAAATTATGACAGAAATATGTTACTATTGTAGGCATACAATAGAACGTACTTCTCAAATCAGTCATCAAGACCTGCAGTGTAAATGCGGTGTAAAAGTGCAGCACACCTCTCCTCAACAAGCCACATTTTTGAGGTCTCATTGCACAAACATTGCAGCGCGGTCGTACAGTTTAAAACTGTAATAAGTATAAACCGTATGTATATAAAACGGCAAGATTGGGTTTGCAATGATGACATCAGAAGAGTGTATCTTTGTTTGTTCAGAGCTTTGCACACTCACTCGGCCCTTCGAGATTTCTGCTGCATGCTGTGAAAAATCCCAATTCCACTGAGCATCATGGATGTGTTTTTTAAAAGCATTTAGCCCTCTGGCAATTAGTTAGGTCTTAATGTACAATGTCAAAACTAGCCATCGATCCACTGATTGATCAGTCTTCCCTTTCTTTTCCCCCTCTGTCCATGTCAGTGAAATGGGAATTGGAACAAACTCTTGTTTTGATCTACTATCAACGCTAATGCTACATAAACTTTATGGATTGTGTCATGTCATCATAAATTGTTTTTAACTTGCTCTGGTCTCCATCATGTTTCTGTATGAGGTAAAATTTCAGGCTGACAGCCAATAAGACATAAAAAACATGGCTGTCCGTCAATAAAGCATTTTAGTGCCTGAACAGGTCAATACGTTCGGCCCACGTTGTCAAAGCACTCTGTATGAACCTCTATTGACCCACCTATAAACATGGACCTATACGCATAACTCACTGTCACAATAACACACTCCACACGCACACGTGATGAGGTAAGACATTACACTTTTATTAAATACAATGGCGGACAACTTGACTTGTCCATATACCTCAGAGAAATCATACAGACAAGGACGTTTGATTGTACTTTTGTAGCTGAGCGTTTAACTGTATGACACACTACTTGATACTTAGCAGAAATCTTCTTTCCAGGTGTAAGTAGGCATGTATCATTTAAACGTATCAAGAAAAGTATACTAGTTGGGAAGGGTCTTAAGAATGTTGGATTCAAAGTCAACATGAACCAGCCTTTGCAACTCATTTTACTTCCTTGAAAAGGAAAGGTGTTTCAGACTAGGAAAGTGTAAGAAAGTAAAGTATCAATTTTGCTGTCAAGTTGACTTTAACACTTTTCATGTGGTTTAATTGTGGACAGTAGTTTAGCTTATAGACATTCTGAAACATCAGAAGAAGTTCTGTACATGTAGAAGACAGTATTTGATACGCAGTCACAGTTCATTGTTCTGTCGCAGACTAATCTAAACCACTTAATCTCTCCATTCAGGTTGATATCTTTGAACAACCTCATGAAAACCTCATGAAAATAAGAAGTTGCATTGTGGTATTATTTTCTTGACAATTAAGCAGATTTCTCTACATTTCCATTTATATATAAGACAAGAAAAAAATCATAGCCAAAAAAGTAATGACATTTCAATATTCATACTTCATGGTAGTTTGTTGTACTGTAAAAAAAAAAAGCTAAGTTAAAAACATTAAAAACATTGTTCTTCTGTAAAAAATGAAATTACTTCATTACATAAATTCAACATAAAAAATACATCGTGTTAATTAGAATTTGAGAACATTTTCTTAATGTTCATGAAAAATAGTCACAATCCAAAATTATAGGCTTCATTGCTTTTGCAGTCAATGTAACTTTTAAATGTAGTTTTCTTAACGTTCTCCCCCTAAAATATGTAATCTTTCTATATTTTTCTTCATCAATACATCCCATTCCACAACCCTCAACCAAATATGAAAAAAATATAATATCAATAATTATTATTTTTACATAAATAAAATAATTTACAAACACAAAAGTGCTTCACATTAAATACAAAATAAATCAAATATAAAATTAAAAGTTACATCTCTTCAAGATTATTTCAAAAAAGTAATTAACTCCAAACTTGTGTGAACTACTTTTGGGATTTTATGCTCACAGAAGATATTTGATTGACTGATTCACGGCATTGAGTAAAGTGTGCTAAGTCTTCTAGGAGATTGACAGTGCAACAATCAACGCAAAAAAAAGGATGCTTTGATAGGATCTCTATAGTGATAAATAGATATAATCATTTATGTATGATAAAAGGAAGAAGAAATGCGGGTTTTAGTGAGGCGACTCAAGTTTATCTCTCTTTAACATTATTTTCCTCCCCACGTCTCATTCCCTCCATCCTGTCCCCTCCCGTCTCTCCTCTTCTCCCCACTGATAGCGTATATGAGCCTAGAGGGAGTTGCTGCTAATAGGAGACATTTGTCCTGTAATGAAATATATATTACACTATAGCAGTTGTACGACCCGAAGCTTGAGTACTACATTAGTGCTTCAACTCAGTAGTAAAACATGGCGAATGAGAAAGAGAGAAAGAAAGGTCGTAATTTAGCCCACACCATCATAATCAGCCACTCTGTATAATTAAGCTCCTGTAAGAAATGGTATTGAGGCATGGCCTCGTCTCAAATGACTCCATGGTGCACGTCGTGTACAGACTATGGCCGTTGATTCGGTCGAGGGCACAGTGGCGGAAAACAGACACGCTGGTTGTGACATCACAAAATGGAGAAGGCTCAGCTTATGAATATTAATAAGGTTATGCACAAATAATTTAACGTGATCTTATAAATATGAAGCATCGATCTGGAAAGCAGGTCAGTAGTAGAGCTTTTCTCCAAGTTAAAACTGAAACAATGACAGTGATTAAAAATGTCCAAAAATCATACATCATAGCTCAGGGATGGGCAACTTCGTCCTACAGAGTTTAGCTTCAACCCTAATCAAACACACCTGAACAAGCTAATCAAGGTCTTCAGGATTACTAGAAAGTTACAGGCAAGTGGTTTTTTCAGGGTTGGAGCTAAACTCTGTAGGACAGTGGCCCTCCAGGACCGAAGTTGCCCATCCCTGTCATAGCTAATTCCACCAATAGATCGCTACTCATACTAACAAAATATAAACCCCTGCTGGACAACTGGAGATGCATTCACTGCACTGGACATAAACCCGCTGCAAACTATTTCATAAAGTAGTGGGACAAAATCAGCAATGGCAAAAGTAGTGGGGACATGTCCCACTATAAATAACACCCATGTTCTCGACACATTTTAATGGACTACTTTGCATTTCAGATTTGCTCGGCAGCACCAACATCCTGTCAGCGTCCAGAAGCATTTAATTAGAGGCGAATGAACTGTGAAACTACGTCGGTAACATCCAGTTTTATAAACACACATGTACACGTATAGATATAGTTGCAGTTTGTCACTGTTAATCACCATGCTAGTTTCACGTTCTGTGCTTTGTATCGGATGTATGACGTAACAGATGGGAGCTGAAAGGACCAAATCTGTCCAGTGGGCAGAAAAGTTGTTTATTTCTCCTCTCATTTGAGTTTGGTCATTGTTCAGAGCTGATATTTCCTCTTTGTTAAGATGGACACCCTTCCTCAAGTCCCGAATCCATTTTTTCACTGAACTGGAATTTGCAGGTGTGAACTTGGTCCAGAAGTTGAGGGTGATCGACCATTGGGGATCTTGATCACTGTAAGTAAAACTATAGTCAGTTGAGTACGGCTCTTTCCATTCAATCCATTTTTGTTCAGAAATACATAATTCATAGTCATTGGACACAATCCTGTTGCCAATGTATCTAGATGTTTACATTGAGAAGAGGAGCAGTCGATGAGGAGAAGGGGAAGGGAGGAGGTGTTAAAGCTGTAGAAGAAAGAGATTTTGGGTGGGATAGAAGAGGGGGGTTAATTTCCGGGATCCACTCGCAGTCCCAAATGCGGCATATGCTCTCTTATCCCAGGATGTCCAGATACACCGGTGATGCCTTGGCCAGGTTGAGGAGGAGGTTATTGATCTCTTTAATGTTGAGTCGGGTGTGGGGTTCTCTCTGCCAGCATCCCAGCATCAAGTCATACACCTCCTTTGGACAGGTCCGGGGTCGCTGGAGTACACGACCTTGGGTGATACACTCAATCACCTAATAAAGAGCAAAGAGTGAAAGGTCAGACAAATTAAATGTCCAGAAATGTGTGAGTCAAACTGCTATAAATGTAGAAAAGGATTGTTTATTAAGATAAACCACCATCCAAGGAGTGATAGAGTTTGAATATATAGCATTTTGAAGTGTATATAGTGTAGCCTTATGTGTTTGAATACTTCAAGTCTGAGGTTTGAAGGAATGCAGGCTTTACTCAGGTCATTGCTAGGGTCTTCGGGTTAGGTGCTAATTTGTTCCAATGTCAGAAAGAGTTTAGTTCCAACTTGTCCCGACACACATCTGCCTGGAAGTTTCTATCAATCCTGAAGACCTTGATTATTTGGTTACGGTGTGTTTAATTGAGGTTGGAGCCAAACTCTGCAGGATAGTGACACCACTGTATTCTGGGTGGTCTCTATGGCACAGCTTCCCAAGCCTGTTCCAGGAGGCACATATATATGATAATATTGTAATTTATATGAGCTACATGGGAACTCAAGGCATCCAGCAGATGGTCAAGCAAGTATGTCTGCTCTCTGACCTGGGCCCCGGATAGTCAAGCAATAACACTAAGAAGAAGCAGGTCAGGTCTACCCCAAAAAGTCTGAATCCTATGCTATTCTGTGAACACCACTTAGACTTAGGATCCCAAGCACTGCACATTTTGTATGTCTCTGTCATCTAACACACCGGATTCCTCTCATCAGCTCATTAGAAGAGACTGCAAGACCTAAGTGGGTGTGACAGATAAGGGAGATGTCCAGTTTTGGGGATCCTCCGGGAATGGTTTGAAAACCCTTGACTTAGACAACAAGCCATTGGGAAGAGTTCCAAAATGTCTACTGTTGGTGTGCCTTCAGGAACAGGGTAAGGAAACACTGCCTCATGGTCTTCTAGTTGGTTGTTAACGTGTTCTAGATGCTTCCTATAGTGTTCATTGCATTTGATAATGTGTTCAAGGAGGCTGCTAGGGTGTTCTGGGTGATCTCTAAGGCAGAGGTAGGCAACCTTTCTCCAGGAGCGGGGTCGGCTACCCCTTGCTCTAGCTTCTTCAGGTTGGTGACTAATGTGTTCTAGGTGGTGTCTATGGGTATTCTTGGTGGTCTTTGGGGTCTTCTGTTTGGATGCTAATGTGCTAATCAAGGTGATTGCGATGGTGTTCTGGGTGGTTTCCGGGGCATTGGTTACTCCTTAGAACAGCCTAAAGAACTGTACAAAACATCCAAAATGTGCAGAGCAGTAATACTACACTGATCAAGTAGCAGATTAGTTGGATCAATTTTTTTAATAAACAAGTGCTGGAGACGGGGCTGCCCCCCAAAAAGGCATTTCACTGCATGGAGATCACATGGGTGTGTATGTTATGCATCAATACCTCATTATTTGACAGTTGGTACCAGGGTTGTTTCCCATAGGTAAAGATCTCCCACAGCACCACTCCCAGACTCCAGACATCACTCTCTGTGGTGAATTTCCTGTACATGATGCTTTCTGGTGGCATCCAGCGAATTGGCAGCATGGTGTGACCTCCAACCTAGACATGTGAAACAGTAAGTACACACACTGAGTCATCCGACATATTGAGTCATGGTGCTGATGTAGGTGACGTGAGTTTGAATCTGTCGAATCAATAAAAGTGGTAATGGACAATGTAATTAATTACAACAATAGAATGGCACTGAAACTTATGTACAGAATATATGTTGGACTGTGGTTTGACATTAAGATGACCAGGTGTGCTCAAATCAATAAAAACAGAAGATATATAAATTCAAGCTACTCTAACAAAACTCCCTGCATTTGCTAATGCAAATTGCTAATGCATGCGCTAATGGATAAGATCCATACAGACTTTTAGAGCAAGAGTAGACAGTGGATACTAGTTTGTTGATATTGGAGCATTGTTCAATCCAAAAAGCTCTCAGGCAAATGCTGACAGTATTTCTAGTTCAGGACCTCAGATGGTGCCGTAAGTTGCGCCTCTCAGGATTTGGATGCTGTAAGCTTGGGGAGTTGGTCTGGCCTGGAGCTCAACCCCAAAACCAATCATTTCATTTATTAGCTTTCTCCATAATGCGCTGCCTCTGAAATATTAATTATGAGATTGTGGTCCAGTATGTGGATTAGTCTCAGATTAATTGGTTTAACATACTGGACTCATCAAATATTAAGGTCAAAAGCTTTTAGGCTTTTTCACTGGTCCCATAGTGGAGCTACAGACTGGAAGGGTCACTTAAAAAGAGGTCTACTGCACACGCACTATTAGAAACCTTTTCCCCCTGCAATCAAACACACAAATACACACACACTCATACACACAACAACATCCTGCTAAAAAGCTTAGACCAGTTTGCACCAGTTTAAAATCCAAGGTTCTTTTAATTGGTTTTAGGTGGGCAATTACTGGCAAAGCTGGTTATTGTTGCAGGTCATAACATGTTTTTGCTCACACTGTCAAATAGCCTGTTAAAGTGCCTCAGTGTATGAGTATGTACAAAGGATCAAAAGCTGTTGTTTTCAGCAGGGTACTTTTTTTCTTTTTTTATATACTGCATTTAAATTTTCTTATTAATATATATATATATATATATATGTATATATATATATATATATATATATATATATATATATATATATACCTTTTTGGAATTTTTGTTCAATAAGGTGACCACTTTTTTTCCTAAAAAGGAGGTGTTTGTTTAGGTTACGTTAATAACAATAATAGAACTGAATGACTATTAAGATATTACACTTTACTAAAATGACATGAAAGCTGTTCACACACCATTTTTCTTTCATAATTATGGAAATCTGGATATTCAATGAGGAAAAAGGTAGGACAACCTAATCTTTGTTTAATAAAAACTGTGTGTTTCTAAGAGGGATTGGTGACATCTGCCAAAACGTTTATGTGTAGAGAGACAGAGCAAGTTATAACATTTAAATGAAAGATTAAAAATACATGTTTTTATCTTTGGTATAATGTGTAGTGATGAATGGTGCACAATTATGACAATTAACTCTCTATTAAAGAATTAAATGCAGACAAAGGCAATATGTTGTCTATGAGGATTCTCAACTAAAGCTTTTGAATATAGGTTATTATGCACAAATGTGGCTTCATAAGAAGTTCTATGGTTACACAACATGCTTTCACAACTTCAAATCCACCCATCAGCCTCTGCCTGACCAGCTGTTTCTATGGAAACTGATGTTCTATAGGCCTAATCAATGGTGTACACACAGTGCGCACACACACAAATCTACTGACCTGCATTTGAATCTCAATGGAGACTCGGATAATGGAGATGTGTCATGATATTCATCAGTATTCAGAGATAAATGAACTTGAATGAACTTGTTGGCACAGTTGTCAATGAAGAGAGTTATCTAATAGCACATCTCTGCATTTATAAACATCATTCAACCCATTTTCAAACACTGGATAGATGATTCACACTGAATACATGACTGGAACACAATAGAAGAACATCATGCTATCATAGAATAAATTAAGTTGTCTGTCTCTCTTCAAATGCTTTATTTACCAAAGTGTAAGGTTTGATTTCTTGATTTTTTTGATTTGTTTTTCAGTCTTTTCCCCCTAACTTCCCCTACCCCTCTCCTTCTCGGTAGGCCCTCATGCTGAAATTGGGGGTGAATACTAATGAGAGATCTTTAATGACTTTCTCAGTTTCTGTCTTATGGCGCAAGCGCTCGATTCTTTTTCTTTGCTGTTGCCATAGTAACCCCTCTTTCCTGTTCCCACGCCACCTTCCTCTCTGACTCCTAATCTGGGAGAGACTAACTGACGGGAATTAATCAACACACACACACAGACACACACACTGAAATTCTGCTGACATCATACAGGAGGAGAGCCAGTAGGGTCAAGGTGTTCGAATAGCTAGTATTCAGTGATCTGTATAGCAAAAAACATGAGAAGCATATTGATTTATACATATACTGGGAAAAGGATTTGAATATCGCCTTTAAGTGTCCTTGTAAAGTCAGCAATCATTTCTAACTAATGAATCTGAAACTGAATTGAAGGTAATGCATCTCGATCTCAGTTTAACTAATACATTGGAATGTGAATACTGATTTAATCTGACCTAATATATATATATACACACACACACACACGCGCACATTTAGTTTTAAATTAAATTATATTTGTGAACTTTCGTTAAGTAGACCACTTTTTGGTGTTCATTTAGGTTACATGTAAGAAATATTAATAATAATAGCACACACACACATTTATTTTTAAATTAAATTATATTGTTGGGCTTTTTTTCATTAAGTTGACCACTTTTTTCCTAACGGAGGAGTTCGTTTAGGTTACATGTAAATAATATTAATAATAATAGCACTGAAAACTAAAATGACATCAAAGCTGTTTACACACACACACACACACACACACACATATATATATACAGACATGAGGACATCCGGATGCCTAAACGTCATTGCATTAGATATCAAAACAGTAATAAAACATGACTTTATTAGTATTTTTTAATAAAATAAATATTAACTTATAATATACCAGTAACATTGTGGCGAGCAGGACGAGAGAGGCCAGGCCTGGACTATTTTATTTGATGTTTTGTTTTATTATATGTGACAGCAGTCGTCCGTGAGGGGCTGCTGTCTTTACTTTCGTATTATTAAAAGTCTGTTAAAGTCTGTTAAATGTATTCGCCGGTTCCCGCCTCCTCCTTCCCACAACATCTAACCTCGTTACAAACATAATTATGTAATAGTAATATTACTATTAATAATGTAAACATATTAGAATTAGAATTTACAACTATAAAGCAAATCTTACCCGATAGTAATCTGTACTGTAGACATCTCTGGACATTCCAAAGTCTCCAATCTTCACCAGGAGATTCTCCCCGACTAGGCAATTTCGTGTGGCCAGGTCTCTGTGAACAAAGTGCTGGGAAGCCAGATACACCATGCCTGCGGCGATCTGCTGCGCAATATGAAGCATCTGAGACTGAGTGAGCTCTGCCTGCTGCAGTACCTGTCCGTCAGCCATCAGAACCGCATCAGGACCATGAGCCCTGGGGCGAACAGAGAACGTAACAACCTCAACCAGACCACAATTCAAAAACACTCATTTTAAACTCAGAGATAAACTAAAACATTATATAACTGGCCATCAGCATCCTGAAAGATCATTTGGATTTGTTTACCAACCAGAACACTTTCTTAACTAGCTTTAAAAAGCAGCAATGAAAGTCCTATGGTTTACTTTGTATTAGTGACAGATTTTCAATAGCTACATGAAAAATGATTAGCCTACAAGGACAAAGCAACTAAAGAAAAGATGTGACTAAGCACTATTGGATTCCAATGCGAACACGCACAGACACGTTCAGGAAGCTGTACCTGAGGAACTTGTTGAGGTCGCCATGCTTCATGTACTCGAACACCATAATAAGCGGATCGCTCTCCACACACACTCCGTAGAACGTGACGATGTGCTCGTGCTGCAGATTGGTCAACAACTCGGCCTCACGATGGAAGTCCTTCCTGGCGTTCTCGCTGGCCTCTTTCAATGTCTACAAACACAGAATGTGTACAAATACAATGAGTATACTGAACGTATAGTGATCCGTATGCTAACATCAAATGCTAAATTAAACAGCCAACCTTGACAGCCACCAAGATCTTCTCCTGTTCTGCGGACAGGTTGTAGCATTCGGCCAGGAACACTTTCCCAAACGCTCCTTCTCCAAGTTCCCTCTTCAGTACAATGTTGTGCCTCTTAATGTGCTGAACAACTGTCGAAAGAACACAACACAATCACACATTAATGCTACATTTAGCCTTTTTGCACTGCCCTTCAACTCTGTAACCTTCAATCCCAAAATAGTATAATGGGATTGGAGCCAAACATGGTGGACATGGGTTGTGACCTTGGGGATCGAGATTGTGGCTCACAGGACGAAGACTCAAAAGCTGATGACTCCTGAAGACTGGAGACTCAAGGGGCGGTGAAATCAGGAAACTTAAGGAACTAAGCAAAACTAAAGTCTCAGAAATATGAAACTGAGTAATAGTCTCAGTAACAGGAGAATCCGGAACATTCTCTCAAACAGGAAACATTAACAAGGTCTTCAGGTACAGGTCATTCTAGGATGGATGATACGAAATGCAATGATCTGTCAACATATGTATTTCCATACCTCCACGCACCTGTTCACGCAGACATCACACATCATGAGCATGTTCAGGAGTTGTATACAGACAGTCACACTCCTTTTATAGTTTCATTCACTTGAAATTCACTACGTGGTTATTCACTCTCTGATCAGATCAAATCATTGATCAACAAAACAGAGCTCAAATAAAATATGCTGACATGTCAAACTTTGATGTTATTGACGTGTCACCATTTTTGATTTACAAAGGGATCGCAATGGTTCTGAAGACTTGGATTAAACTGCTGGAGTATGTCCCTTTTTGAGCTTAGACCCCATTGACTTTCATCGTACGGACAAAAACAGCTGAAACATTCTTCAAAATATCTATTTTTCGTGTGTGTGTTTGTTCGATAGACATCCCAATGGCATCCCAAGTTTTTTAAATAATTATTATTAAATAATGGGTTTCCAAGAGCTTTATTTATAATCAGACACATGCAATTCCAGACATTGGACATAATTTAATAAAAGGTGTACTAGAGATTATTTCAGATTTGGTGGAAAAGAGACGTTTCTTATCCCAGACGTCCCTCAAGAGAGTGAGGACAGTGCAGAGATAAGACGACGAGATTAATCAGTCGTTTAGTGTGCTGGAGGAGAGAGAGATAAAGAGAGAGAGAGAGAGAAGATTCTGAACAGACACTGCACTCTTAGAGATTTATCCTTAATGTGATTAAGAAATGCTTTTGAAGAAAAACTAGCCAGTCAGCCGATTACATTAGCGAGAGCTAGATGATGAGGCTGCATCGATCTACAGTAACTCACTGTACACCATAACCCTATATTAAAAGTAACCAGAGTGGGAAGGAAAGGACACAGAGAACGTAAAAACTGAGAAAGGCAAGTGATGAGGGTTATAAAATAAATATTTAAGATGCTGTGTGATTGTGTATGCAGATGCACAGTCATATAAACCTGCCAAATAAATGTTTGAGTATGTTCCCCCTAATTCAATTTTCCTGAAGAAAATGATACCTACTGTAGGGCCATTAAGCCAAGCACATTTCCACCAATATTCTCATTACCAGAATGTAAAAAAAAAAATTAAAGGGATAGTTCACCCAAAAATGTCAATTCTGTCATTAATTACTCACCCTCATTTTGTTCCAAACCTTTCTTGACTTTACATGACCTTTTCTTGACAAATTAAGATCTTTTTGATTAAATCTGGGAGTTTTCTGTCCCTCCATTGACAGCTATGCAACTACCACTTTGATGTTCAAAAAATTCATAAAGAGATTAAAGAGATTGGTTAAACTAATCGAAATGTACTGAGTGGTTTAGTCCAAATTTTCTGAAGAGACACGACCGCTTTATATGATGAACAGATTGAATTTAGGCTTTTATTCACATATAAACATTCATCAACTCACACATCAGTTTGCTCAAGCATATTCGCTTGACGTGCGAGAACCAATGAGGTTCATTCTCGCATTACGCAGCACGTTTGAGCTTCTGCAAGAACCAATGAGATGTGTTCTTGCGAGTCAAGCAGGTTCGGTTGAGCTTCTGTTTATGTTCGCTGATCAATGTTTATATGTGAATAAAAGACTAAATTAAATCTCTTCATCATATAAAGCGATCGAGTCTCTTCAGAAAAATTGGACTAAACTTCTGAAGATGATCACAAGTCTAACGGGCTTGGAACGACGTGAGGGCGAGTAATTAATGACAGAATTTTCATTTCTGGGTGAACTATCACTTTATTTAAATAGTCAATTATTTATTGCCTTTAATTTACTCTACAGTACACTTCCCTTTTAATATTACATTATGTTTAAACACCATTAGAGTGTTAGTACACTACAAGTATACTACTATTAGTAGTATTAAACTTTATTTTGATGCTCCCCAACAGACATTCTACTGACTATAAGTAACTTTACAACTACATGTCAACTTATTGTACTAACCCCAACACTAACCTAAAAGTCTACTAATACTCTAAGGGAATAATAATCATTCCCTGAATAATGAGTGTTAGTTGACATCTAGTTGCAATGTTACTTAGCCTATATTTAGTAGAATGACTAAAGTGGACCATCGAAATAAAGTTTAAAACAATATGTAGGGGGGAATGTACTTATTTGAAATGGTCTCATTGCAACAAAAAAAAAATCCATATTGTTATTTTTTGTAGTAATTGGGCTAGCATTGTTTCATAGGTTGGCAAGACACAAATGAAACAACAAAGACAGACAGACACAGGTACTCACAGGTATCAGATTTGAGCAGACTGCTGGTGCTGCGGAAGTACTGCGGGTTCTCTATGACGGGAATCTTGGTCATGCCGATGATGACGGCGTCCGCGTTCATGTCAGAGGACGAGGGTGTGTTAGAACCATTGGACACATGATGAAGAGGGCTGGCAGAGTCATCGTCATTACTGATGACTGAGGAAGGACCTGTGTCAAAGACAAAGATTTGCACTCAGAACCAAAACATTTCTTTCCTGGCAAGAGTATACTGCTATTAAAATATCATTTTTATTGGCATCAAGATTATAATTTTTTTTTGCCCCCATACACATTTGCAAGGGAAGTTTAATATTCTGTGCCACAATAAACAATCGCTTGATCCAATGTTCCAACAAAATTAAACAACAAAAATGATCAATAAAACCATCAGAAATGTTTAACTAAAAACATCACTGCAAGGTCTCTCCGGGACAGCAAGCCCATTTGAAAAGATTGACACTGTTCCAGTTTAAAGTCAAACGTTTTGGCAGAACCAGAAAGGAAAAATGTAATACATTGAGAAAAAAAAAAAAAAAAACAGTGGGGGGCTTCCTGTCTGACAGGATATTCGTATGTATAGTAGGGTCCAAAACTCTGAGACGACAATGAAAATTTGGGACAAGTTGGTCATTACAAGCTGGAAATATTCTGAACCATCATATAACCTTTATAATATAATATGATTATGATACTTTTAAAGTTCTGCACTATTTCTTGGTCACTAATTACATTTGGGACACTGACATCCTGTGACTCTTTGTACAGATGGTCAGATGTTCTTGATTTAACTGAAGCACAAGATACTCTTTGAATCATTCTCAAATTATGCTGGAAAACATGATCATCATGACCAACACAAACTTCTGGATTTTATTTATTCATTGACAAAGACTGAATATAAAATATCTAGTCTTGGTGCACTAATCAAGTAATTTGAGACATTGATATCATGCTAACACTTTTTTTTTCTTCAGACCGTCAGATGTTCTTGATTCAATTGAATCACACAATGATGTTTGAATCATTCTCAAATCATGATGGAGAACAAGATCATCAGGTTTTATATAAACTTTTATAAAAGTTCATGCAGCTCAAATTCTGCTGTCATTAAAGCAAAAGGGGAACATAACTAATTCCAAGATTAATAATACTATACAGACAAGACCCCTAAAACCACAGTGATCAGCAGTCATGATACTCAATCAGTGTCTGAAATCGGTTTTCTGTTGAAATTGGAATAAAACACAAGGAACCAACTAAAAGAAATTAATAGTGCACATGTAAACATCTTCAAGAGCCAAGAAAACCAAAATGTTTCAACAGAATCGCCATCAAGGGTGTAATTGATCCATTTCCATGAGGTTTACAATGTTTAGCAATACATCATGAACTATTCCCAGGAAATGATACTTTGCGAAAAAGCATTTTAGCTGGAAATAGTTTTAAAGTTGACTTATTATGCCCTTTTACAGTCTTGATTTTGTTTTTGGGGTCTACTAGAATAGGTTTTCATGCTTGAATGTTCAAAAACACATTATTTTCACATATTTTACATTATTGCAGCTCCTCTCTTCCCAGTCTGTCAGTAAAACTCTGGGCTTTCTTTCCCAAAAGCATCGTAAGCTAAGTTGATCACAGAGACCATTGGTGGCAATGGTTCTACGATCTACTCATAGGCTTATGATGCTTTTGTGAAATGTAGTTCCAGTCTCCATGAAGCCCCTCCTTCCGAAAAGCGCAATGTGCTCTGATTGGTCAGCTGGACCAGTGTGTTGTGATTAGTCAAGCACTTCGAGCGTGTATGGGAAATGTCACGCCACTTACCATAACTGTGAGTTTCAACACACTAACTCAACTCGAACCAGGCGGGGCCCTTTATTCTGCGTATGCCTTAATCCCTGTCTATTTAAATAAGGAATATTGTGACGTGTTTGTTCCCGGAAGAAAAATCAAGACTACAATGGAAGTGTTTCATGGAGTTTGGAAACAGTGACACTGACATAGAGAATAACTTCCTCTGGAGTGACTTGGAACTTTGCAGACATGTTTCATGCTCAAACAGCAACATTACACACTAAAGAAAGTTGGAAAAAACCACAAGGGCCCCTTTTAAAAAAAAGTTTTAGATTGCATTTTATTGAGACTATAACTCATTTTCTTCCATGCTTCTATTTATTGTGAAACCTGTGTATCAATATATCAAACTACTATACATTAGTTTTAAGTATATATAAAAAATATTTGGTAACACTTTCTATGAAGCCTGTATTTATAATCAGGGGTGCACATAACTTTTTTGGTCTGGTTCTCAAGTGAGCAACTGGAGATGCTGCTTGGTACTCACGCTTTACGCGGCACACTTGTCCTACAAGCTGTCAGCATCACTTTCCTCCTGACTGCTCTCCTCGTTATCTTCTTTCTCTCCAACATGGTAGATGATGATGATGTTTTTTTAATTTTATTAACACAGACAACAGCAGGAATATTAGGCTGCTGTCACTTTAAGACCGAATGCACGGACCGAATATACTGACACACATCCGGTTTCTTTCTTAACTGTTCACTTAAAGGAACACTCCGACTTTTTGGGACTTTAGCCTATTCACCTTATCCCCCAGAGTTAGATAAGTCCATACATACCTTTTTCATCTCCGTGCGTGCTGTAACTCTATCTGACGCACCCACCGCTAGCCTAGCTTAGCACAAAGACTGGATGTAAATGGTTGCAGCTAGCATACTAATACAAATAAGTGACAAAATAGCGCAAACATTTTCCTATTTACATGTTGTGATTTGTATAGTCACAGAGTGTACAAAAAACAAAGTCACATGAGACACAGACATATTTTAACCGTATAAATACTGGGAACTATATTCTCTGAAGGCGAAGCACTGCTACTTGGGCGGAGTGATAACCGCAGCACCTGAGACGCGCTCTCTGCTCCTCACCACGGCGCGTCTCGGTGCTGCGGTTATCACTCCGCCCAAGTAGCAGTGCTTCGCCTTCAGAGAATATAGTTCCCAGTATTTATACGGTTAAAATATGTCTGTGTCTCATGTGACTTTGTTTTTTGTACACTCTGTGACTATACAAATCACAACATGTAAATAGGAAAATGTTTGCGTTATTTTGTCACTTATTTGGATTAGTATGCTAGCTGCAACCATTTACATCCAGTCTTTGTGCTAAGCTAGGCTAGCGGTGGGTGCGTCAAACAGACTTATAGCACGCACGGAGATGAAAAAGGTATGTATGGACTTTTCTAACTCTGGGGGATAAGGTGAATAGGCTAAAGTCCCAAAAAGTCGGAGTGTTCCTTTAAGACATAACCAAGAGAATACTTGTCGAGACGGGTATTTTGACATCATTTTGTGTGCATGTGTCAGTTCAAGCGCAAGTAAACGCGAAAGAGGAATCAATTCGATGTTCGAGCACTGTCTGAAACGCGCCTCTCTCTCTCTCTGCGCTCTTCGAGTGTGTGAGGTTGTGCGCACAGATAACAGCACGCGAGTCCCGATTTTCACCTCTTCTTCCGCATTTAAAATCGTTCGAATGTGTAAATTGGCAAGACAAAACACGTCCAAATGATAAACTTTCACTCTATGGTGGTTAAACTTACCAGTTTATCCACAAATCACATGCGTGCCGAACCGTGGGACTTGATCCGTACGGATCATGGATCAACTGTGTTCCGTTGCACCCCTTATAATTAATGAACACACTTATCATCATGATTGCTATATTACCAGAGATGGAAAAAAATCCAACTCCAGTAAGTAATCGGTCGTTTATTTCTACCTCACATGCGCACCAGTTATGTGCACCCCTGTTTATAATGCATTATACAGGTATTCTTGATGCATTATAATACATGAATAACGTCTTATAAACAACCTTATAATACGTTGTATCATCTTACAAATAATCATAACAACAGGTACAATACATCATCATACTTGCCTATTTGTGGTTATAACTTTTAAGAGTAAAATGCATTATAACACCAGATAAAGCCTGCATTTATAATGCATCATAAGGGTAATGTTTTCCTTGTAGTGTCTTGTCTTAAAGGGATAGTTCACTTTGAAATTAATTTTTGATATGTTTTAACTTACCTCAAGGGCATCCAAGGTGTAGGTGTCTTTGTTTCCGCAGTAGTTTCAATTTTGATATTTTTAGGTCAAACCGTTCTTGTCTGTCAGTCATATAATGCAGGTCTATGGTCACCACCTCAAAGAGCATGCACAGAGAAGTCCAAATTAAACATGATTTAATGACTCGTAAATGTAAGTACACACTGATGGCCTAAGACACGAAACGAGCGGTTTGTGTGAGAACGCACAGACCGAAGCGCCCGCGCCCTCAGATCACTTGGACGTGGCTGTGGTTACAAGAGGTAAAAACGATATAAATACTGTTCGTTTTCTCACACAAACCGCTCGTTTCGTGTCTTAGGCCATCAATGTGTACTTACATTTACGAGTCATTAAATCATGTTTAATTTGGACTTCTCTGTGCATGCTCTTTGAGGTGGTGACCATAGACCTGCATTATATGACTGACAGACAAGAACGGTTTGACCTAAAAATATAAAAATTGAAACTACTGCGGAAACAAAGACACCTACATCTTGGATGCCCTTAAGGTAAGCTAAAACATATCAAAAATTTATTTCAAAGAGAACTATCCCTTTAAGATCAGTGGTTTGGCTGTCTTTGTAGAAAAACAGGACATCCACCAATCATAACCCGAACCCCATCCATTAAATCAGTGCACATAAAGGGGTTGATATGTTGTTCCAGGAACAACAGGATGTTGATTTTGGAACATCTACTTGAACATCTAAATGTTAAGTTGCATAACAGTAACATTGCACAACAGTAGGATGAATAGAAGACAGAAATCACGCTGGAACATTTCCAATCATTCAATAAACCTATGTTCCTCAGGTGTCAGATGCCATATTTAATATGAAGGAAATGTAAATGAGACTGAGGAACAGACATGAAGTCCCTTCAAATGTTTGCATTGTCCTAGAGCGATACCTCATTAAAAAAAAAGTGTTCTGCAGAAGAAAGAGACAAAGAAACATTTTGTATGCATCTTAGGCCCAGTTTGCACCCGGTATTAAGATGCGTTTTGGTCGATCGGGTGACAAGTAGACGAG